AGCAGAGCCAATCTCAAACAGTAGGATAGCCATCATAAAAGTAGCCTTAACGCTCATAAGTGTGTATAATTTTCCAAATACTGGTAAGAAAGCGCAGTTGGTGAGCAAGAAGGCTGTGCCGTACCAGCCGATGTCGTTTGACGCGTCGAACTCGTTAGTTATGGATGGTATAGCGGTCGAGATGATAAGTCTGTCCTGTAGATGACGTTAGTTAGCTAGTATATCCTATTTTAGACATACTGCTATCCGCTAACATACCAAGGCTACCAAGAATATGCCAATATAAAGGGAGATAAGTATGATTGCGAGTTTATAGCCCGAAGGATACACTTGGTCAGCTAGGTTGATGGTCCTTTCACCTTGTTCGCTCTCGCGTTGAAGCTCTTTCTCCTCTGAAGCCATAGTTGGGTGAATGTAAGTAGGTTGGACTAGGAGTGGGATAAGAAACCCGGGGGAAAGGCGCTATTATGAGCTACACTATAATACAGATACTTGATGCGTGTTTAGAGACAGATCAGGTAAGAATTGAAGAGAAATATATAAAACCGATAATGAAGTCTATCTAGGTATAGGTGATGGATATTTATACAATCTAACGCCTCCTATTGTCCATAATCACGGAGCGTGCCCTCAATCCGTTGTGGATCCTACAAACTCGATTCAACTCACCCTACGAATTCTAAGTCCATTTAATTTTCCATTGTCCTTGCTCATTTCAGACATAACGGAGCGGGTTTCCACGGGGTATAATGGAGCTTACGACCGTCCGTCCGACCGTCCACTTTCCGACGCTCCATGTTGCGGATCGGGGTGGATGCTTTCCTGGGTATTACCCCAAGTAATTATTTATATTAGATCGCTCGAATATAATCATAATACTGGGTTATGGGCTACGTTAATGACTAAGTCGCGTAAATTTTAATAGATCGTCTACAGTATAGGCTTGTCCAGCCTTAAGTATATTTATGAACTACCCAATGTACCTATGCCACGGTCGCATTCATAAGGTACCCCTAACCTAAGTAGACACGGATGAAGCAGATGGTGACTTAATAAGCGTGAACCTTCCCCTTTCTAAGGAACTCGCAAACTAAGCAGGTCTGCAGCTGGACGATGCGTCGTTGTGGATCAACATAAGCCGCCGTAGGGGGTTCCAGAGGCTGTGGCTTGGGGCCATTTCCAGGTGGGTTAACAGATTGTAGAGTTGCAAGCGTCTTCCCGGAATTGGCCCTCGAGGACTGGCCCGTATACCTATCGATGTTGAACGGGGGCAGGTCCTTGCCACCCCCGGCGCCGTATTGATCTGAGATCCGCATGGTTGATTTCCGTTACGGACGAAGCCGAAAACGAGAGGAATACCTAGAGCTATGCGTAGCGGGAAAGGGGGTGATATGCATAATCTCGCATGGAAATCTAGGATCCGTACGATGATGTTCTAGGAAGCATTCGAAACGAGGTTAGGAATTGTTGGTCTAAGTCCGAATATATAGAAAATTTGAGTGCCTCAATTATGGAGGCTCCATCTTCTGTGTGAATGGTTATACCACAGCAACGTATTCTAAGTTTGAATATAAGAACCGTTGGTTTCCCCAAGATGTAGGAGCTACCTCCATAGCTGTAAGGTTATCTATAGGTATACATCGCTGATCCACTTTGAAAGCTGTCGTGATTGTTAATGTTGACAATCTGGATTTTAGAAAACTCTTAGGCTGTAAACGCTTTTGAGAGAAAGCTGCTGCAATTACTGAGCCATCAAACACCCCGTGATTTATTTTATTACTCTATGAAAAGGTACGGAAATTATCATTATCGGCAACAATCATTACTTAAATATCGGCTCTGAATTCTTAACTGCACTAAGTTAAAACACCCTTACTGGGGCCACCCTAGTGGGGGCCACCCATTTCCTATACAAAATTAACAATTTCGCATGTCTATAATTAATTTAAAGAAATAAATAAAAATATAAAATCTCTTATGTTTTATTTTTCGATTATTATAATAGCTTATATACATTTTATCACATTTAAAATCTAATATTTTAATAATAAAATAGTAAAGTATATTTTTAATGTTATTTTAAAAATTTTAATTTTATATGGAAATTTTATCAAATTACCATAAAACCTTATAAACGTTTATAATTTCTCAGATAAATAAGTTATATAACTCGCTTTAAATTTAAAAGTTATATTAAAATGTCCCTTATTTAACAATATAGATTTTACATTTATACCATATTAATTGGTAAAGTTATAAGCAATAATATCCTTTAATAGTTTTATATATAAATTTGTATGTATAACTATTAATGTATACTCTTATATTCATTTCACCACAGATATTAGCCCTGCCATTTTTTTTAATTTTTACATATATTAAAAATATAATACCCTATTCAAAATCAAAGACCGTATATTTTTTATCCATTTTTTTTGAATTAAATACAAATATGCGAAATCGTTGATTTTGTATGGGAAATGGGTGGCCCCCACTAGGGTGGCCCCAGTAAGGGTGGTTTGACTTATTTGCTAAGTACGCTAGCTGGAATTAATACGTATTGTTTTGTTTACGTGATTGTGTGGAAGTGTTTGTGGCACGTAGTCTAGGAATTGATCTATTATTGAAGTGTCAGGATTCTAGATGTCTGATCTAGAACAAAGGACGCCATTAGTATGTAAGGTAGGTAGGTAGTCATAGGCTCTCATAACTGGTAGCTTAGAGTTACTCGTTGAACAACTAAGTTGTTCCCTAACTTCTTGGCCCACCTCGTGACATGGTTTCTATATCACATTTAACTTTGATATAGAAAGAAAATAAGCAAAACTAAATTGGGTTAGACTTAATGATGGAACGAGTTAGGGAACAAGTCTTGCTATAATATGTGATTGGGAGACTACAATTAGATATATTAATATGTGGGATTTTAGTAAGAATGTTTATATAAATCAGGCATTGCCCTTCACTCGGGGAGAAGCTCAGTGACTTAACTAAGGCACCTACCAGGTAGGTAAGATGCATCTGGTACGGCTTATATACTGTCTTTTTAACAGGCTCTCTAATAACAGCACTTATTATCCTTTGGGCATAGTATTAATGTTTTGTTGTCTCGATTCTATTACTGGTTTGTATCTAACAAGGCTTGTGACGCTAGATGTTAAATGAGCCCCTGAGGCGATGGTACTGACCATGTCATACAGTGGCTAAGGAGCTGTCACATAATAGCTATCCCGAGGCCTCGCTAAGCCATAGTGTGCGCGTGCTAGTCTAGGCATCAATTTACGCTATAATACGTGATAGATACGACTTATCTGGTAACTGATACCTTAATACGCGTCGCCTAAGCCTCGCTCTATATTCTTCTAGGGTTCCTCTGATAGCTTGCCTTAGACATACCTCCGGATCCATTCATTCATTCTTTTATCTATGTAGTGTATAGCATTCATATGAACATGATGTTCATAGCATATGAAATGTGATATAGTAGATTTTTATTTTCTAGCTTACCCTGTTTTTATTGACCATCTTTCTGATGTCTTATTAGTTCCTTGATTTGTTTTTCTTTGGTCTCTTTTGATCCTATCATGCGTTAAACTATGCGGAAGGATTGAGACTTAGATGCTCTGTAACCCGTTAATCACAATCATTCTTAGAACTGATCGTTACCTATGGTATATTTAATTTTCGCCTATATCGAGCTATTCCTTTGTTATGGATTTGACCAAGCATTGGATGCCATTTAGCTCCGGTCTGATTATTTGACATATGTGCCTGCGAATATGGGCCTGGCTGATGGCCATTCTGGCGAGCTATCCTTGCTGTCGCTATTCTGCACGGATAAATTTTCTTAGGGCTTCATCATGCGTCGATAACTATAAACATAAAACTTCAAACAACAGCTTCAGCGAGTACGATGCTGGTAACCCGAGATATAGATGTATGGTCATGACGCGCTGGCAGGGCAGGCGTTATACTACAATCATAATGTAAACTTACCTAGGTAGGTATTCAGGTCTAATTAAATACATCTAACCCATCTTTATTTGGCAATCGTACGAGAATTGAATAATATATTGCAGTCGGTGACCGGAAAAGGAAGTAGAATCGTGAATTCCGACTCTCTGCGTAATCGTATTGGCGCATCGAGCTAGTCAATTCATAGAAAATTTACTATCCCGAGCCTGAAGATAGAGTCTTCCATCAAGCTTCTCGTCTTTGGCAAGCTTGGATAGCTATCCTAAGCCTCAATACCGTGTTCGAGGTATACGTTTGTACTATACTATTACCGCCAGTGACGTGGCATGAACTTTTAGTACTATTGAACTTCTCGTTGGCCGGTTCGGATGTTTCGAATTAACTGCCATACTAAAACGAACGAATAGTCATTACTCCGTTACTCCGTTACACAGCCACCCTCTTGGGTGCAACGGTACTCTCCTTTAGTCATGCGGTTGATTGATCCATCACGACTAACAAATGGGGCGTCAAGAGCACGAGCCTCTCGGATATCCCGTTGGAGGCTGCAGTATCGAATGTGCCTAATATTTATCGGCAATTTTGTCTGGGCAGTCCCTTATGAGGCTTCTTCGCAATGAAGAGATATGTGAAGAGATATGTGAAGAGATATGTAGAAATATGATTCATGGGGTAGGCGGGTTAAGTGAGGAGTAAATTATTTTAGTCGTCTGTCTTCTACCTAAGCCCGAGCGCTTAGTATATAGTGATACTCGAACGCTATAATGTGTCATAATACATAATTAGTTTTGGATCGGGTTAAGATGATACCATATGGCTGTGGATTGTAGAGTCGGTACCGAAGCGGTTAGGACTCAGCCGCACTTCCTCGTTAGACGTGAGATAGAATACCTATCTCCGGATCTCTTATACATAATTCTCGGACCAATGGTTCTGGCCGATTTACCCCTGGATTCGGTACTTTCCCGGCTCCACTCGTGTATGTATACAGTCTGACAGTCAGGGCAGTGTGGCAGCTTTGGGTAAGTGTTGCATGAATATCAACCCCATGTTTGTAATTAGTGATTGCTCACTCGCTGGAAGACTCAAGGAATACCTCGAGGAGCATATCGAAAAGGCATTCCAACCAATAAGAATGAAACCGTATTGTCATTTATTATGACTGCTCCGCCGCAGGATCGACAGTGGAGCAACTCTAGAGCGCGATTCCCGCTCTTCGGACTCGTCTCCACGATAGAGCTTCGAAGCTAAGGTCTCCGGATCACAATCCGGTAGGTCTCATCGCCGGGGTCCGCGGACAAAACTTACCGTCACATAGGGCTTCTATGCATAGAAAATGAGGGAATTTAGGTGTGGTGATACTGCGTATCTGCAATACCGTTGCGACTGTTAAATCGCTGCCTGCGATGGTGACGTGGCACCCTGACCCTACGTCGACAGCGTCCGGAATGTTCATTCTTTCGATAATCTCCGGTCCGTTGTCTGAGCCGCTTAACCGAAAATGAATCTACAATCAATGTATTAGAAGTATTTAAGGAAGCTGGTACGACTAACAATATATCATCTCAACAAGATCTAATATCATCAATAAGTCAAATCCAAACTAGGTCGAGATGAAGCTGGTGTACCTGTCCTCCGCCGTGGCCTTTGGCTCCGCAATCGCCGATACAGTCCCGTGGGAAGGTCCCGGACCGAGCGACGGTAAGCTACCCACCAAAACTCGGCCGGAGCAAACATCGAGTACCGCGTCGCTAACACTAGAAATAAAGTGCGGTCGCCTTGTCCCATGCTCAATACTTTAGCAAACCATGGGTTTCTACCTCACGATGGAAAGAGCATCACCGTGAATAAGACAGTAGATGCTCTATCTTCAGCGCTAAATATCGTCCCGGAGCTCGGCAGCTTCTTGCACGAATTCGCGGTGACTACGAACCCTCAGCCTAATGCGACGACCTTCGACTTGAACCATCTTAGCCGTCATAACATATTGGAGCACGATGGCAGCTTGAGGTTTGTTTCAGAGTCACGAGGATATCTTTTCGTTTAGATCATAAATCACTAATCCAAAGGTCCCGTAGTCGTCAGGATTCTTACTTTGGTCCTCCGGACGTCTTTAACGAGGCTGTCTTTAACGAGACCAAGTCGTACTGGACCGGAGACATAATTACTATACAGATGGCAGCCAACGCGCGTGTGGCCCGTCTTATGACTTCGAACCTTACGAACCCCGAGTACTCGCTTTCAAACTTGGGTTCAGACTTCAGTATAGGCGAGTCAGTTGCATATCTCGCCATTCTAGGGTCTAAGGAGACCGGCACCGTCCCGAAGACCTACGTGGAGTACTTGTTCGGTAAGGCGATGATGTCTAATAATTTATGAGTGCATTTAGAAGCTAACGGGGCAACTTTTATAGAAAACGAACGCTTACCTTATGAGCTTGGTTTCTCAAAGATGAAGGAACCCATGACGAAAGATGACCTGACCAATCTGATGGATAAGATTATCGAGGCTCAGCATTTCCCCCAATCACCTGGCAAGATTTCGAAGCGTACTGAGAGGCCTTCCGAGAAGCGTGCTGAGAAGCGTTGCCCATTCCACTAGATGTGAGCCTATGATTCGTAGAGTTGGTTCGATTATCCTAGAGCTTGTATCTATGAGTTGATAGCTGGATGTGTACATACCAACGTAGGTACATACACTTGATTTCACCATTCACATAATTATCACTCCAATGATCTTCTAGCAAATACTTTGCGGAACTTAATATGCCTTTACACATGTTCGATAGCAGACACGGCCGTTGTTCCGGCGTCTACCGTGATATTACTCCCAGTGATCCAACGAGCTTGCTCACTAGCCAGGAACCTAACCGCCGTTGCACAGTCCCATGCGTTACCTTCTGTTCGCAGGAGAGTCCCGTCTCTTCGCGCTTCTCGAGTTTGTGCGCTTATTCCTTTTGCATATATCATGGGCGTATAGAGATAACCTGATAGGATTTAGTGTACGGAAATGGAAATAAACAGGGAATAGTCTCGCTGCTCGCTGCGCCTCGCTTACCTGGGCAGACACAGTTCACGCGAATACCATCCGATCCGTGATGCGCTGCCATGGCACGCGTCATGTTCAGAACAGCACCCTTGCTTGTCGGATATAGCAAATGGGGAGTGCCCCCTACTAATCCCGCGACCGATCCAATATTAACAATACTTCCTCGAATCCCTTCCGGCGACTCGGTATTCTTACGCATTTCGGGCACGACAAACTTGACCATGTTTGCCATACTTGTGACATTTACGTCGAGCCCACGACGCCACTGATCCAAGTCAAATTCCGTCGCAGTGCCTCTGGCGCCCATGATGCCTACGTTGTTGACCAGAATGTCAATTCGCCCAAAATTGGACAGCGCCGCATCTACAATGTTTTGGCAATGGATAGGCTTCGTAACGTCGCCCTGGCAGCTAATACTCTCACCTTTGCCTTCTGCTTCTATCATGGCGCTGGTGCGTTTAGCCCACGAGGGGTGCACATCCGCACACACGACAGAGGCTCCATCCTCGGCCAACATAATCGAAATTGCTCGACCGTTACCAAGGCCATCACCTTCGCAACCCGCTCCTGTCACGATAGCGACTTTCCCCGCAAGAGATCTCGACGGCCTTGGAGGAATGTTATCCACCACTAAAACCGAGATTAGCGAATTGGGTAATTACGAAAGACTACCCTTTGACCCGCCTACAAGTTCTCCTTTCTATACTGAATGCTCGTCGTCCTATCGAGTGGGCTGTAGATTTTCAGCTTCTTAGTCGCAGACCGTTGCTCTTCTGAGACGTACAATAATACATTGGAGGCGCCGATGTGAGGGGGGCTGGACCTAGTGGGGGGTGTTTGGTCTTCGTACAAGGTACTGAAGACACAACCCGTTCTATTAAATGCGATCGAGCATGATGATATAATACATTTCTAACGCCAAGGCAACCCATACTCAAACCTGAACTGTCATATCTTAGACGATATAATTAATTACCTACTAAAGTACCTACTATACCAACCATAGATTGAAGACACAATAATTACACTGCGTTGGCAACCTTGTAAAGAGTGTTTATAAATTGCCAAGGAGGGACTTTTGCTGCGAAGGAGCAGGTTATCTGTCGGCTTAGTTATAACTCAAGTCAAGTTGAGTGTTAGTTGATGCATCTTCAATCGTGGGGAAATCTCAATATAGAAGATCTTCCCATATCAGACCATGTAACTTCACAATCCACATAATAGCTATCCTCGTAGAACACGATACTTAAAATTACATTAATAACCCACTGCCAATCGACAAGGATTATAGTATCTATCGTTGTCTCGACTTTATACGCATGGTAGTTAGATTTAATTCATAGGATTTAAGTGAAACTATCACCATTGGATTCAACTCTCATTGATGACATGACATAAGATATAGCTCAATTCTCCTAATTCTCTCCGATCTAGTTCGGAGTCAATAGACTATACGAAAGCTGTAGATCGATATCAACATATGCAAAGGATTAGTCACTCCTGTCACGTTCGTGGACTCTATGGATTCGATCCATGGATTATGAACTTAATGGAGTGGGCATGTCCAGCCAAAGAGTCGGTAAAGACAACGTTCCCCAACTAGGGCCAATGCGGCATCCTTTAACGCTATAGTAAGAAGGTATCAACACAAAGGATGCCCCATGGATGCCGGCATACACCTGCAATTAAAGTGCGGCTCACGAATGATCTCATTTACAATCCCTGCGTCCTATATCTTCTCAAAAGTGCTTTCTCCGATATGTCTCGGATTAATTGACTAATTGTCCCACGATGCACGGAATTCTAGGCTACCACGATAGTCATTGTGTCAACTTATTTACCTTGTATATAAACATCTATCGATGCCGTATTAGCAACGTCTCACTCTGCTTAAACTAAAGAAAACGGAACTCGGATCACGTTGCCCATCATGGTTAACATAACTGGTAAGTCGTCTTTGCCATCGACCTGCCTCTGCCTATTATTAGGTGGACAACAGCGCGTTTCGCTCTAGCTAACCCGATACCGTAGCACCCCTTCGTATCGGCTACGTGCTGTTCCCGGCCTTCACATCTATAGACGTCTTCGGACCTTTGGGTGTGCTAAATCTGGTCTCCATGAACTATAACTTGACGCTATCGCTGCTATCGACGGACCTGGAGCCGATCAGCGTGGATCGTACCATCATAGGCGGCGTGGGCAGCGGCATGGGCGCTGTGTCGGCGTCGCCCAACTTCACCGAGTTCGTTCTCCCAACGCACACTTTCGACAACCCGCCGGATCTCGACGTGCTCTTCGTTCCGGGAGGGTTCGGCACCCGCAACATTAACGGAACGCAGCCCCACGTCGATTGGATCCGCAGCCGCATCGAGCAGGAGCCTAAGCTCGACTACTTGATGAGCGTGTGCACTGGCGCCTCGCTTTTGGCGCGTACCGGCAAGCTCGAGGGAAAGAATGCCACTACGAACAAGGCTGCCTTTAACTGGGTCAAATCGGTCGAACACGCGGACAAGGTCAACTGGATCGCCAAAGCCCGGTGGGTCGTCGATGGGGATATCTGGACCAGCTCGGGAGTCAGCGCCGGCACGGATATGACCCTGAATTGGGTTGAGCATCTGTACGGGAGGAGCGAAAGCGAGAGGGTGCGAAATCTCATGGAGTGGAATCCGATGAACCAGACCGATGACCCGTTTGCCGAGTACTACGGACTGGTGTAAGTCACCAGAGGTTGAAGATTCGCGGTTCGTGTTTCGCGTTTCTTAGCTCTGAACTGCGTCAATTATACCCCTTAAATGGCACCATACGCGTACTTATAATCATTGCTTTACTTCGTTAGGCGAACATAGCCATCGATGGGTTTGCCTAGTAGAATAGGGCAGTGAAGGTTGCCAAAAGGGGGTGAGAGTAGATTTAGTAGTGACGATGAGATAGAATGATCAAATCAACTTTAACCGCCAGTTTTTGAGTTTCAACTAGTTACGGGCTACGGTGACATGTTGGAGTGAAGCGGCTATAGCTCATTATACTTGCCAAGTGTGGTTGATTATTGTCCACGTTGCCTGGAGAGTTTTTCGAATTGTTGAAAAACTTGGCGTCTAGAGTACACTAACCTAACCTAGTCTTCTAACCTAGGTAGATACCTAGGTACCTATGTAAGTACTAATATTTCTATCTGCTTACTATTGGCTAAGGTACTAAAAGAGGCTTGCCAAAGGGAAGGTAAGATATTAAAAGCACGACAAGTGGCACGGAATGCTAGGGATGAGGAATTACCCGCATGAAGAGGCAAGTAAAATATCCAGTCAAGTAAATAATATTTGCTATTTTCAATGGTCGACGACAAGCTAGTGGAAGCTACCAACTTGGCATAGGGGTAGAGATTTTGAGATACAATCAATACAGGTCGGATATCAAGGATATCATATTAACATAATGATCATCTCATAAATTACAGTGCTGACCCCAAGATTCTTATACGGCGAAGCCACCCGAGTTAACCTGCCGTGGTTCCCCAGCCGCCTCGAAAGTTCCATTCGGCAGTAATCTTAAACCCTGCGCTGTGCTCTGACCCGGTGCCACCCAAGTCACATTATGGCCTAGCGACTGCATGTACGCGACGGTGCTGTTGTCGTAAGAGTACTCGAAGGAGGTCTGAGGAGGGCTGAGCTGATCGTGTAGCCTGGGTGCAGCCAGCGCCTCGGCTGTCGTAAAATTCTGATCGAGTACGTGGTGAATATTCTGGATGGTGGCTGTGATGATGCGGCTACCACCGGCGGATCCTATAACGAAATACAACTTGCCATCGGCTGTCTCGACTATAGTCCCTGAGATCGAGGATAGAGGTCTCTTGCCCGGACGAACGAAGTTTGCCGGGCTCGGTATGTAGCCAAACGCGTTACTCGAGTTGGGAATAGAGAAGTCATTCATCTCATCGTTCATAATGACACCGGTCTCAGGTACAATCAAACGGGATCCGAAGAGCAAATTAATAGTTGTCGTAAGGCTGATAGCTAAGCCGCTCTTATCGGCGGCGACAATATGACTTGTGCCCGGAGTATCGAGGCTCTCGAGACCGGCAGGGTCATAGTACGAGACGTTCTGAGTTTTGAAATCGGAGATTTTGGAGCGTACTTCAGCAGCGGTCGCATCAGAAATCATGGACTCCTGGTACTCGTCAAGCCCTTCAACGAAGGAAGGATCACCAAGTTCGGATCGTTGACCATAAGCAAATTTGATAGCCTCGTCCAGTCTATGAGTAGTCAAGTTGACCGCAGCAGGATCGCCAAACCCCTCATAGCCATCAGCGATTTTCAGCGCACTGAGCGCTACCACGCCACTTGCCGGGGCGCTGATGCTTGTGAGCTTATAGCCTCGGTATTTGATTTCAGAAGGCTTCCTAATCGCAACTGTGTAGTTCTTCAAATCATCTAGCGTCATGGTTCCATTCTTTCCTTGCAGCGCTGCTATTGTCGCCTTAGCAATAGCGCCGGTGTAAAATGCATCCGGACCCTCGTTGGCGATGACTTCCAACGTGTCGGCGTAGCGTTTGCGCGTTATGGTCTCGCCTAGCTTGACAATATAACCCTTCGGGGCAAAGTCGATTGCCCAGGCTGGGTCATCCTTTAGAAAATCATTTGGCGTTGCGGATGCTATATACTTGACGAGATCTGCTGTTACCTCGAAGCCTTCCCGAGCGACCTTGATAGCCGGCTTTACCACGTCTGCCCACGGGAGCTTCCCGTAGTTTTTATGCAGATACTCTAGCCCTCTAAGCTCTCCAGGAACACCGCTACAGCTCTGTTAGCACCACAATTCCTCTAAGAGACAGGGGTATTAAGTGTCCATCTAGGCCGAGTTGGGATTACCTTGCCAGGCCGCCATATAAACTAGCGTCGGTGTTATTCTCGTACATATCCTCATAAGCAGCGGCCGGGGCCGTCTCTCGAAAATCGATGTACTCGTATTTCCCATCGCTACCACGAACAAGCATAAAACCGCCACCGCCAATGCCACTGTGGTACATGCCGATGACACCGACGCAGAACACAGTGCCGACAAGGGCATCAGCAGCATTTCCACCGGCTTGAAGTAGGCCGGTCCCAATCTTAGAGCAGACAGAGCTCTCAGACGCGACAGCGCCCAACCTAGGGACTCGTTCGCATGATCTCGCGAGTCCCGGGTGCGCCAAGAAGCCTAACTGCAAGACAGCGGCCGCGATACTTCTGAGGGACGGCATGGACGACATGGCGCTTGCGGGAGGTGGCTAGAAGGACTAGAAGGACTAGAAGGACTAGTCCGTGAAGATGCTGTCAAAGGAACTAGCAGACTAACAACATAAGAACAAAGGGCACACGACTGGCAAGACGGCCGTACTTGTACTCGCGCTACGCGTGCGGCATAAGCACGCAATCAAGGATTATCTACAGCGCAGTACCAACTCGGTAAGCTGGGCAGCTAGCCAGCTAGCCAGCTTGCATTAGCTTGGGTTTGGCTGGTACCTGACCCTTGACCGAGTGAGAGAGATGAGAGATAGGAGGGATAGGAGGGATAGGAGGGATTGAGGCTGTCGTTTTTCAGCTTACCTCTCGAATAGAGAGGCTTGGAAGAAAACGGCGACATTAATGCTTAACTTGAGGCATTATATAGAATGATATCTTTAGATAATAGGTATCCTTTGATATCATATTTATAACACCCCGCACCGCACTCGCCTATCGTATTATTACATCCCATCCTTTCACATCGCGTATTCTTGTATTCTTGTATTCTTGCATTCCTGTGGTAGGTATTAGGTATTCGATTCGCATTGTCTTGCCTCGTCTACCCTCAGCTCTATCCCGCATCATATGTTCCCGGTGAACGAATATGATAATTTCCGCCTCTAAATCCTTCCATGATATCCACGACACTAATAAAATGTTTATCGCGATGTTCCCGCTCTCTTCTTGACCGTCCTTCCTATCGAGGAAATTAGATTGCCCCAATCAAACAACCCCGGTCCACCAGCTAGCTGTTGACGCGATGGGCACCATGCCGTTGCATCAGGTGCTACCTAATTATTATTCACTAATATGAAATAATACGCCTCTTACCTCTGCCACCTGATATTTACCTAGGTACTGTACCTAGCTAGCATCCTGTGGAACACTCTTAACGAAATTTCTTAAATACTTTCAAGATGTGTAAGATAGGTAGGTAGATATACGAAAGCCAGAAATACTCTCACGTATCCTTCAGATTAAACTATTCATTCGCCGTCATCGTCCACCATTCGGCGACGCTTCCTAGTGCTACCGACGTTCGTCTCATTAAGAAGCCCACTCCCGGTAGAACTGAACTGCTTTTGGAGCTCGTCCATCTCGTCCACCGGTAGCTTGGCCGCAAATTCCTTATCCTTAGTAGCTCGACGCTGTTCTGAAGTCGCCTTTCTGAGAGACCTATATGCGTCGTAGAGGTTCTTGATGCTTGCCTCAGCAACAGGTAGGACCAGGTATTGTCCATTCTCTTCGTCATTTCCTATGTCCACCGGATCTCCTTTCACAGCCTCCACATACTTGAGGCTACCATCAAGTTCCCTGAAGGCGAGGACGATCTGTAGATCGTGTGTCGCATGGTTATACGACGAGTGCTTGACATCAAGCAAGTTGCCTAGCTTGTTCTTTGAAGGCAACTGTCCTAAGCTGAGGTCTTCATAGTACTCGCGAGATATTTTACGGCTCACTACTGCACTTTCGTCTGCTGCGGCAAGATATCGCTGGATAAGGACCTCTTTGTGATTTAGTAGCTTTGCATAAGCATGCTGGATTACCCAGACGTTTCGCAACGTAGGTTGCAAGGCCAAGATAGGATCCCCAAATTTCTGGGGCAGCATCGGGTTAGCTTCATCGTAGGTGATCAGCTGTGGACGGGGCATGCCGTGGACAGAATCGCGAAGTTTGTAGCTCGGTCTACGACCCAGGAGCGTGCATCCCAGTAGGTGGTTCAGCTCGCTTCCCGGATTAACACCAGGCAAGTCTTCCAATGAACCCAATTTCGTCTCCACCTCGTAGATCGCCTTGGATGCCCTATTCTGAATCGCAAGCATCATATCCTTAAATTCCTTAAGCAACTCGGATTGACGAGACCGAAGTAAGGTACTATTGGATTTAACGCTATGATCCTGCACTATAGCGCTATTTGACGAGAGCGCTGCTTCTACTAGTTTGCCGATGCCCTGGAGGAGCACTCCAAGCTGGGGTTGAGCTTGATTGGCGGTAGTCTGTGATTCCATGCTCTCGATTTGACTTTGATATGTTAGTTTCGAAAGGGCATACACCGTAGGAGATATGCTGAGAGAAATTGCGTGAAGTGAGAAGTGGTGTATTTGTCAACTCTGTGAGTCGAATGAAGGTGTGCTCAAATAATTGAAGATTTAGATAGTTGTTATGTTTATGTTAGAGGCTAAATGATAAAAAGGTCTTGGAATTGTATTTGTCGGGGTCGAAGAAGGGAAGAAGCATTTGTGTGGGGTAATTCTCTACATGTACATATTTTCTACATGTATTTTCTACATGTATTTTCTACATGAGACTTGGGGTGACGGAATATATAATTCCACTACATGATGCATTATATAGTTGCCATGTGCTCGTGGAAAGTTACAACTGTACGGATCGGCCTCTAGATATGGCTATTCACCACCAGCCACTATTTAACGAGTCTTGATGTATCAGAACAGAGGTTAGATTCATACTTTACGTTTCGTTATAGGTTTTTTTGCTTTTTCTTTTTTCAACTTTTTTCAACTTTTTTTTAACTTTTTTTTTCCATTCGGAAGCTATGTCTTATACAAGGAAGAAATCCTTCATCATCCAATAAAACAGCCACCAGACTGTTTCCGGGATTCTCAGGTTAGGTACGTATCCAGCGTATTCGATATCTGCTGGCTCCCGTGTTACCTATGCGCTTATCTGCTTTCCATTCTATTCAAATGAATAAATGCCGTATAGAAAGAAGCCTTTGGGGACTACACGTATATATAGAAGAAATATATAAACATGTAGTCGTCACGAGGTAGTCCCTGCCGTCAGAGGTTTTCGACCAACCATTATTCTCGTAGGGTAATAGGCGTGTACATCAGGCGAGCGCATATCGCGTCGTAGATGTGCAGCATAGACCTGGATCTCCGACGGGGTCCAGCCCATGACCATAGTCCACAAGTAAGTCAAGAATCCTACGGGAGAAGTAAGAATCAATAATAAGACGACCCGGGACGTTTAGAAACCGATATCATACCTTCAATGTCCTGTCCTACAGCAAGCCCGGTGTACAAGCCAATCTGTCTAAGTTTTTCGTCTCGCGGCCACCCACTTAATGCGGTCTATAAACGGAATGTTCATTTAGTAATGCGAATGAAATCTTCATATCGGCGCCCCAGCACGTACCTTGATGTCGGTCTCATAAGTGATTTCGAAGCCCGCAGCCTCCATCGCTTTCCTTTGCAAGTCATCTTCTATAACGTTGAACGTGCGACCTGTCTTCTTTCCAGCCTCTGAAAATACCTTGCTCCACTGATCTAGAGGGGACCCGTCTTTAACTGTGCCGTCGTCGCTCGTGATCATACACGAAGATTCCTGACTCTCCAAGTATCCGCCGGGCTTTAGGGCCTGGTAGGCTTCTCTGAATAGGGCGTACCAGTCTAGAATAGCACCCACTAGCCAACGTATATGAATATAGTCGAAGCTATTAGGCTCGTACGTCCACGGCTGTGTTACGTCGTCAACCTCGAATCTTAGGTTAGGCGGGATCCATTGCGGCTGCTGCGGTGAAACGTCGACACCGATCACTTCGGCGTTAGGATACTGATCAGCAAAATCACTGGATCGTGTTAGCTCGTAGTGACTGTTGTTAGAAATCCTGAATAGTTACATCGCCCATATCCCTAAGAAAATTGTTAGTTAATTGTTAACTTTTGAGCAACTAGACTATCCGTTATATCATTTCGTAGAACTCACCAGTACCGCAACCCACGTCTAATACTTTCTACAGTATGTTTAGTGTAAGTCACAAGACGCCCGTATAATGGGTTTGCTCACTTGAACGTCGTCACTAAGAGGAGCAGCAAGGATTTTCCCATCCAGCATTATCGTCGCGGTATGATGACTAAAGATCAAGGTTGAGCGGATTTATTTTTATATGAGTAAGAATATGACTAAGATTGGAACTTACAAGATATCCATGGACTCATCGTGAATAGCATCGTTGGGGCCCCTTCAATATACATCAGCACCGGTGAGTCTCGTATTGCCATGCCATAGTGGTTCTTACCAGGATAACGCGTTACCGCGTTCGCTATGATATGTGCGACCATGAACAGTCCGATACTCGAGGATACTAGCAGTTAAGGATGCGGTCGAGCTGGCGGCATCTTCAAAGGAAGAATCATCATCCTCGCGCACGTTAACGGGCTAAACCGATATTTAACTAATCATTTTCTCTTATAGTAACTTGAAGCGCGTTCCTAACATACTGGTAAATGAGCCCAATGCGACGCGGGAAGAATATGGGGACTACTAGTCTGTGATATCTGATATTGGGACGAGGGAGCGTCTGCTGCTGGAGATACTACTGGCCCAGCGGTAGCACCCGTAGTAGCCGTACCCAACGCTGTCGCCGGTGTCTTGGCAGATGGGTCGGACATGTTGCTAGCTACACGTTGTACTTCTCCCGACTAGGTTAAATAGTTCCCCGTTCGTGTAAGTGAAAAATATCTAACAACATCCAAGCCTTTAACTCCAAATTATATGAAATATGCTTTCAAAGGTTTATAATGTTCGAGTCTCGTTCGATTACAAGAATATAACAGGGGTCATCTAAGAAGAAGAATTCGAACTTCTCTAGAAGCGAAAGAAGATGGATAAGCCAGTGATATTGTTGGTGGTAAGACGTTTGGCAGCAGGGAAGGGGCCGAACCGCATATGTGTCGATGCTGGCTATGACTTACAGGGGAAGAAGCTCTTACATACATACATAATACATACGTACATATCTAGGTACCTAGTACCCGACTCTACTATGTATACATTACGACATATTGAGTTTTATGTACTGGGATCATAATACATAGAAAAGCCCATTGAACTACATTAAGTTACCTATTGGTTGATACCTAGAGCAGCAATACAATATAGGTACCTACATAGGTACGCAACATGCACGTTGGGTATAAGGACCGACGAATTATGCGTGTTAGTTACATCGATGATGTCTAGATATGCAGAGATGAGACCAAAGACTCTCGAATTGGAGATTGGAGAAGACAGCTGGCCTGGAAGAATTTGCCCCCCTCTCCTTAGGATTCCACTGGGGTCTCGAGCAGGCCAAACAAGTATCTATCACCTCCTTCCGAGTGGTCTGACGGTATCTCCCACATAGTAATTGCTGTCTCCTATTGGAGCACATAGTTATGTCAACAAGCTTACATCAAGCTGCCCATAAGAGAACTGTCTACCATGCCACGTTGTGCTTGTCATATTTCTGATACCGAAACCGAACTATCCCTGCCATAATCGCCGGAGAAGAGCCCTCGATGATTCACGGGTCGTACAGGATGACCAATCTCGAGGATTTATTTACGACTTTCCTGTTGGCCTCGGCCGCTACGACTTTAGTTTGCATAATAATTGCCATGGATTACCCAAGGAAGCAATGAAACGAACGACTTATCTCTTTAACCTTCCCCCACGTAGACCTGTATATACCTACATAGGTAGGTATGTATAGAGCACAGTTAGACGGAGATAAAAAAGACACGCACACCGCCTCTAGAAACTGTTGAACATGACTGCATTGCCTGGTTGTACACGTGTATCTTGACCGCATATATTTAGGTGTACTTATTAAGAAGCTATTTGTTCCTGTTCCTGTTCCTGTTCCCGTTCCCGATCCCGATCCCGTTCCCGTTCCCGATCCCGCTCCCGTTCCTAGTTCCACTTAAGACCGAACTTTTAGTTAGCATGGAATGTTTCTTATGGGGCCGATTTGTTGTATTGCATAGGACAGGCCCGGCTTGTGCGGCATCGTTTCTTTTCTTTTTCTTTCTTTCTTTTTTTTTTTTCCCTTTCTAAGGGAGTTTATTTTTAAAGCCGAGCCCCCCTTCCTTGCCGGTCCTCTCCCCCTTAATAACCAGTGGCTTTCAGCCTGGTCTTTCGCGTGCATAATACGTACATGTACATGCATGTCTTTATAGGTAGGTATGTATCTGTTCGTAGAGTAGGTACCTAGCATATGTTAGCCGTAGGCGGGGTTTGGTCTGTTCCGATGGAGTTTCTCGGGAACTTAACGCGGGGATCGCATGTGAGTCCTATCGGCCGTGTCGAATCTACCGAATTTTCAAGTTACCTACCTTATCGTTATTCTATAAGTAAGATATGTACGTGTTGTTCTATCCCCTCCAATATCATGACTTCCAAACTGATACTTGATTGAGGTTTTACATGAAAGGCTACATGTTAAATAGGATCAATCGGGTAATCTTATCGCTTTTCGAAGAATGGTGTGGTATTAATAATAGCGATGTTGTAAAAAGTAAAAGCCGGTGTAAAAGAAAAGAACCGCCATCATGTCACATTTAAAACAGATTCGAATAACGACATTAAGTACATGTACCTAAGGTAGATTAGATACCTTCGGTATGTACATACCTACCTAAGGTAAAGAGAGGGGATAAAAATTTAGGAATACCTACTACATCTCGCAATTATAACCTTAGCAAAATGCGAAAAAGTAAGCCAAAAAAAATGCCCACTACTGGAGTCGAACCAGTCATCTCCTCATAGCTTCCTTAGTAGTATTTTGACAATACTAGTGAGGCGCATTACCGCTGTGCCAAGCGGGCTGTGACAACTTTGTTGGCAAAAGGCCCTTGTATAGAGGGTTTCTGTTAGGATGAGTGCTAGAAATTCAGGTTGCCCCACAATATACATGGAGTCAATAGGTACCTAGGTAGGTGTGCTACATGTATGTATTAGCCTATGTACCTCCTAAGCATTCAATTTCGAAGGCAATATCTTATTGTCCATTCATGTTGTTTTTACTGAAAAAAAGCATTCGGTATATGAGACTAAGACGTAGCGACATCCTCCAAATATGGTAAAAATAGGGTTCCAATATTTTGCCTCATTATGTACAGTTTTGCTAGCTGGCAAAGCAATTATTGATAATATAATATATTTACCTACTTATGTCTCGATGCCACTTTGCGTAGGTCCTTCTAAAGCTCGGGTATTGTCTCGGGTATTGTCTCGAGTATTGTCGTAACCGGTTTCTAAGATCCACAAGCAAACACGGCCATTTACTTCATTAAAAAGGGCATCTTGTCCATCTGCTAGCCTTGATTCTTTCGGTATCGGCCTCCACCTCTTGAATCCCTAGGCCCATGCGGTTCTTAGGGCCTATGTCTGAAAACAAATATCCCTGGGGCATATATTCTTCGGGATTGTCTCCTGGTACTTTGCCGCCGTATAGCCAGATAGCCCACGCCACAGGTCCCCAACGGTTCCACAGCGTCGGTTTGACATAGAAGGGATAGTTCCCGTATGGAATAGGTTGCGCAATGCGGCCCGTATTTGGATCAGGGTCGCCCAATCGTTTAAGCTCGAAGAAGCGCGGCAACGTTAGGTATCGCAACACGAAACGTCGGAGCGTGAGAATGGAGTATACGGTTGCGACGGCCGTGGTATCGGGCTCGGGTAACCTGCCAAGAGAGCAAATCGGTTAATCATAGCTGCATGATACCGAGAGGGGGGGGGGGGAATATGATCTGATAAGCGTGCGGCTTAAACGCCACCACCTATACTGTAGCCATACTGCAGTACAGAACCAGTAAGAAAATAGGGGGTCAACTTACATAAATGCCTCGCGCACCCTGCCACCGAGAAGGCTAATCACGATGTCAACTGCAAAAGGCCTCGCGAACCATGGCACCCAATATGTTATCATAGGAATTAATGCCCGGGCGGGCTTGGCGCACACGAGACTAGGCTTCATAGCTTGGACCTCGTAAGCCTGAGCCCAAGCCGCGACATCATCGGCAAACTCGATGCCGTCACGCCATCCCGACTCAGCGTATGTCAAGAGACCCTTATACTCGATACCCATAGCGTCGCCTACCGACTTCCAAAAGACGCCGTACGCACAGTATTCCATATCATTCATAGGTCGCCACTCGTACAGGCGTGCGAAGCGCGGCGGTTCTAATATGAACACAGATAGCGTGTATAGCAGATCTGCGTTGGAGATGGTCCCCTCCTTAACGTACTTGCTGTGAAGGAAGTTCATCCGGGCTAAGCCTTTCATGGCTCGCTCCGATGTGGGAGGGTTTAGCATGAACTCGCCGATTAAAGCTGATGTATCCTCGAATCTGTAGACTACTATTTAGTGACTTGCTATTCTATATGGATAGGTAGTATATGCCCCTTTCTGCTACAGAGTTGTGCGACGTACTCAGAGATAACAGGTATATACCCGATCATCGTATCAAGTACACTCCCATATAGGAATATCAAATAATTCTTACCTCTTGGGGCTCTTAACCGGATCTGTCAAGTTTCTCGTGCCAAGAAGTAAACGACTTATGCTTTCGACACCGTACGTCTAATAGATTCCCGTGCTGGCGTTAGTAAAATATCACCAAAAAACCCGGAAGGATGGAACAAAGATGCGGTATCTCATCTTAGTGATTTTCAAAACCGCCTAACCCACCTTGAAGAGTCCAAACTCCAAAGACAAGAAGTGTAAGAGCGGCATCTCCCACGTGGCCATGAACTTGACGACCTGCTGAGCTTCAACAGCTGTCATGCGTGAGAACGAGGAGCGGTCGGTATATCCAAGCTTTCGGCGTAGAGCATGCTCGCGACGGTAGCGTAACGCTCTGCATAACCCTACATATGCGAGGACGCCAGGGACGATAAGCTGTTTCCAAGATGTCGAAGACAGAATCGCCGAGAGCGGTAGCGGGATAATGACTACCGCTTCGGAGAGGTTGGGTATTGATAAATTCATTGAGGAATATGTGTAACTAGGTTCTTCTAGGTGTTCATAGTTTACTCGCAATTATTGAAGTACTATCAGGAATATGGGGTTTAAGTCTAATAGCAGATACCTAGGTAAGCTTTAAACATATAGGTAGACTTCAGTCAATATATGGAAATGGAGGGTATAAATAGTCGAAAGTGCGATGCCCACTAGGTTAGGTTACTTGACCCCGCTGGACCATGTAAGGTTCCTTACAATTACAATAGTGTATACCACCTAGGTACCAGGCTAATAACATCCTATTATTGTCTCTCATTATGTACCTACACATCTTCTATATGTACTAGGTACTATATGTACTAAGGAAACTAGGGCTAATAGATCTGATCTACATAAGTGTGTATCATGCATTTGTAATCCACTTTTCTGTTAACAGTGGGTAAGGGTAGATCGTCAGATCAGGAATATGCATCATTTCGGCAGATTTTATCATTAGTAACTTTAAACGTACAATAAAAATCCATTAAACGTATAGCATATCTACTTTTATGTGAAATAGTCCGATATGCCACCATTTATTTAATTTATATTAGGATTAATATCGTTTTTTAATAAATTTATAGTTTTATTTAATCGTATTATAATATTTATATTTAATTAAATATAAAATTTAAATAAATAAAAATTAATATATTTATAATTAAATTTAATACGTATATATAAGTTATAAATTTATATATTTAATTAAAATAATAATATAAAAATTAAAATTATTAATTTAATTATTAATGAACAAGAATTGGTATTTTTTATAAAGTATTGAACAAGACTTAAACGTCTTGGCCTTGGA